AAAAAAAAGCACTGGTAAACAACCTCAGTATGACAAAGCCAATAGAACAGTGTAATCAGGATATTGAACAGTAGTTTGACCAATTCAGTAAAGAAGGATTGTAGTCCATTTCACTCCCTTGACCAAATTAATTTCTACTTACTAGGATCATGAAAATATGTACAAATAAACAGACATCCTGAAAGTTAATTTTGATCCAAAAAAAAATTGCAATGTAGAGATGCTAAATAACCAGAAAAAACTACCAGACCCATCAAAAAGGAGCATCTCGCAAAAGGAGATCAAAAATCTTCCAATGCCAAGACTAAAGGCTCAATATACATAATCACTCTTTCAACAGCCTGTTTCTAGCTTCTCCAGGAATTGCTCGATCCTCTCAATCGCAAAGCAGCAAAGCCTCATTTCACAGTTCTACCTCAAAATTATTTACCACTCACAAACAAAACATAGGGAAACTAATCACCATCAAAGTACATAGCAAAACAAGAGGAAAACCCAAACAACGTTCTACAATTGCACAATTAACTGCCTCAAGCCATATGGAAGCAAGTCGCCATAATTTGAAGAGAATGTTTAACAAGTTGGTAATAGACAAGCATATTGCAGCATGATAGCCCCAACGAATGAAAAAAAGCTGCCTTAAATGATGCAATTAACTGATTTACACAACAAACTAACCAGTATACGTAGATGCACCTTAAAAATGCACATCTAGATGAACCAATGCACATCGGTGTGCAAATGCTCTCTCACATACATGTGCAAATATCTTTCTCAATAGATATGTGAGATGAGTAAGTACTTGAAGCACAAAGGCAAGGATCAAATCTGCGCCTGTTATTCAGGAAGAGGACTGGGAACCACCAGACCTACGTGGGTAGGTATTTCTTAGTTATAATCAATGCTAACAACTTCCACGGCAAATACATTAGCATAGGTATAAACCTCAAACAAACAAAATAAAAATATAAAACATTCTCTGTTTGAGCTTGACCATTTCGATAATACCTCGTAAACTAGGATGTGAGCCTTGTGGGCCTCCCTATTCACTGTCTATTGGCTTGAGGCCCTAACACTCATAAATATATATATAATAAAACAAATCAAAAGGCAAAATCTTTCAAGGATATCTTGAAGTTTATATCTGACTTTCTCCAGTTCATCTTCTTTCATGTTAATAGACTTCGTATTTTGTCTAATGACATTCATAAACTTCAGTTTTGAGCGTCTATAATCATAAAATCCTCCTGTCATGCCACCTTTCTTGCTCACTTGATCGCCTGAAACATGAAGGGCGAACTATCAGCGCAACAGAGATAGAGACTAACGTAGTCAATACAAAATACAAAGTTCCACAGTGGTAACCTTCCATAGTTATGCAGTCCAGACCATCACTGCGAGCAACCCGTGTAGCAACATCCAAATCTCGGCAAATTACAGTTCTAGCAAATACCTAGCCATACAGTGAAATGTAAAGAACAAAAACGTTAAAGAAAAGAACACACCAAAAATAAAACAGACAAGCAAATTTGAGACATTACATACCCCTAAAAGTCCATAATAGCATTTTAAAACGGATCCTACCCACTTAATTTTTTTCTCAAACCCAATATTTCCTAAAATGAATAATACAGCATCCAGAGGTTAAAATATTTCTTAAAGAACATTGATGCAGTCCAGAATAAAGCTCTCAACAAAAGATAATAAGTTTGAAAGTCATTCGATCAACTTGTAGGACCCACATCAAATACTCGACTTAAGAATTCTGATATAGGAACACATTCACCTGTTTTTAGGACAATAATAAACTTTAGTCTTGGAATTTTTGAACAGATAAGAACTTCACATACACAGAGACATATACATCAAGATCATGTTGACAAGAACCTTGTTTTTTGGGCTGCACAGTAATACTCCAAATATGAACAAGGAAGCTCCCTGTTCTATCAAAAAAAGAGTTCCATTGGAAGAAGATGATGATGAAGATCCTTCAAAATGTGGTACGATTGAAATCATCCAAAAAGCAATACCAGCAATCCATGTGCATGGTTGTTCCCCTTATTTTCACAAGAGGTCTTCTTAACAACTCAACTCAACAAATACTTAATCCCAACCATCTGGAGTCGGCTACATAAATCTTATTTCTCCGTTGCACTCTATCAAGGGTCAAATGTTCCGTTCATCCATAAGCTATTAGATCCTTTTGTACTATTTTGTTCACAGTTATTTTAAATCTACCTCTACCTCTAGCATTATCATCGATATGTATAAAATCACTCTTCTTTACCAATACATTATTAAGACTTCTAGAAATATGTCTAAACCAACTAAGTTGATTCTATCTTAATTTATCTCCTATTGGTGCTACTTCTATGATTTTATGAATATGCTCATTTCTAATTTTATCCTTTCTCGTTTTACGATACATCCATCTTAATATTCTCATTTTTGCAACACTTAGTTTTTGAGTATGTTGTTTCTTAATTGCCCAACATTCCATCTAATAAAGCATTGTTAATCTAATGGTTGTCTTATAAAAACTTACCTTTCAACTTAAAGGGGTATATATCGATCACATAATGCACCAGCTGCATTCCTCCATTTAGTCCATCATACCTTAATTCTATGATTAACATCATCTCCAATCTCTCCCTCCCTATGCCTAATTGACCTCAAATATCTAAAGTATTCACTCTTGGGTATCTCTTAATCTTCGATATTTATCCTAAATCTTTTTGATTATGAAATTTCTCTCCAAACTTATGGTTTGTGGTTAAATCCTACTTTAGTTTCATCAATCAACCCTATCATCGGCAAATAATATACACCTCATCCTGAATATGTTTGGTCAATTCATCCATAATTAAGATAAAGAGAAATAGACTTAAAGTGGAAACCTAATGTAGGCCTACCCTGATCGTGAATTCACTACTTTTTCTTGCAGTTATTCTAACTATGGTCAATGCATCTTTGTACATATCCTTAATCATATCAATAAATGTATTTGTAACTCTCTTCTCTAAAACCATATTATGTCCCTAGACACTCTTATCATATGTTTTTTTCTAAGTCTATAAACAACATACGAAGATCTTTCAAACTATTCCTATTTTTGGGCATCCATGTCGAAGGAGTTTCAGACTATTCATCTTTTTCGTGATACTTCAAGTTAAACAGCTTCATGTGGAATGCAGTTTTGTTTTGCTTTCTTTCTTTTTTTTATCTATCTTCGTTTCGATTTGTCTTTGGTTTGTACTACTTGTCCACCATTGACTTCCTTTTGTAATTTTGTTTTATCTTTATGATTAATGATATTATCGTCTCCTATAAAAAAAAAACTTGTCACAAAAAAGCATTAGTGTTCTTCTATTCATAAACAAGTGGTAGTGCTCTTAAAAAAGTTGTAGTGCCCTTAGCAAATCTGCATTTTATCCTTTTGTTTGTTCTAGTGTTCTTGGTGGGTATGATACTCGTATTATGTGTGGGTGAACCTATAAAATTAAAATCATACCATCCATCTCCTAGTTACAATTAATGTTAGGTACCATTTCATATAACAAAACATTTTATATCATCAAAAGAATATGCAAGAAATAGAAGTATTAAAAACCGGATGTGTTAATTTGCAGTTGAACACACAAACAGTGAGTCGATCATCATAACAATTTGATGAATTGTCTGATAATCCTAACTATTATAAAAGTAATATTCAACAGGAAACAAAACCTTCTATCAGAGCTAACCTGGGCAAATGCTGGAGTATAATCACGAGAGAATCTCAATTTCTTTAAAAGAGGTATCACATCAGAACTCTCTGGATAAGCAACTTGTGGAGCCTTCACCCTGTTCAATGGAATAAATGTAACTCTTCCACCTTTCTGTGCATTAAGATGTCGAATTATTTGGGTTGATATTCCATCATTCTCAACCACCACGTGAAATAAGCTGTGCAAAAAAAAAAAAATGAAATTACACAAACAATCACAGGAACAGCAGTTGTTAGTATACTCCTACGTGATGTGCCAGCTCACCATAATACAATAATACGGACCTTTAATAAAAGAAGCTCACAGTGGTCTTTCTGCTTACCTGTTTCCGGCAGTAACTTCAACGGCAGTAAAAAACTTTTCATCACAATCAAGCAACTCAAAAATCGGACCAAATACCCCAGAAATCTCATATTCTCTGCATATCCTCCTAACTGTATTCAGTCCTCTTCGAATATCCTGAGAAATTTAACTCTCACGTAGGGATCGTAATAACGAATATTAATAGGCAAAAAACTGCAGACAACCCCCCCCCCTTCTTTTTTAAAAAAAAAAAATCTGTGCAAAGAATGATTTTCAACCTTTTTGAGGCCAGAGAATAAACAAAAAGCACTTTTATAAGAAATTTTGACTAACAGAGATTTGTCTATATCAAAAAAAAGGCACATAAGAATTCATGATTAAACTGCCTTTCTCCCTTCTTTTCTTTCAGTTTTTTTGCAGCTAGTATCATTGCAATAATCTGGTATCAATAGCATATCTTCCATTTTTTTGTTCTACGGGAGAAATTAATAAAATATCAGAAAATTATAGAAATCAACCTCTGTTACTTATCTCTTCTACTTTTCCTCTATCAATATTTCACTTCTTATCAAAAAACAAAAGAAAACTACCAAAGGCAATTATCCAATCTAAGGCAATTATCCAATCTAGTCCCCCGCTACTTAAGGAGCTGAACCGTGAACTAGGCACCAGAATAATCTGTCCCATTATTGCACGGTGTGGCTGCCCTTACATTCAATCTACAACCTCATGAAAGAGCTTTTACCACTAAACCAAAAATGGCTCACAAAGATGAACATGACAATCCAATCTTGACCCAAAGCCATCAAGAATAGGCCTCTCAGATTCTTCATATAATAATAACTTGCACTAAAGTCCATCAACCTTATATCTGTTAATGCTATTAAGTTCTTCAAAAATTCTAGCATGATTAAATTGCCATAATGCGTGAGTATGGAACATTGCCTTTTCCTTCAATTTTTTTTGATGCATTTTTCATATTATCCAAATGCAATTTTTTGTATAATATCCAATTGTAAGTGCTTTCAATGAAAACTTTGTACTCAAATTTCTTAAAATGGAGCACATTGCTACTTTTTTGTTTGATTGAGGATAAAATATTAGAATTTCAATCTTTCATGGTGTAAGAAGGAGGAAGAGTTTTATTAGAGAGATAGCAACAAAATTGGATGAAATTGTGAGAGATCCTTTGTTGATTGCTAATGAGATCACTAGGTTCTATAAAAGGTTGTATACGAATGGTATTCCCTTTAGATCTAGTATTGAAAGTATTTATTGGTATCCTTTAATGTTTGAGCGGGCAACTTGGTTAGAGAGGCCATTTGAGAAAAGAGAAGTTAAAAATGCTGTTTTTTATATGGGCAAGGAGAAAGCTCTAGATCCTGATGGTTTTTTTTCGATAATAAAACAAACTTCCATTTCACAGAAGGTGAATAAAGTACATGGATGTCGGATAAGAAATCCACCTTAAAACAAAATAAAAACAACAAAGTAGGTAGATGCATAGTTATTAGTATCGTACGATACGTATCGTGTCTCTGTATCGTTTTTGCACCGTATCGTACGATACACAATAAGATACGCCCGATACGTACAATACGTGATGATTCTGTTTTTTTATTTTTTATTTTTTGTTTCTTGGGGTTGAAATGATATTGTTTTACCCTAAAACTTATTTTTAAATCACTAACTAGTAAAACAACGTCATTTCAGTGGTTATAGTTTAAAATAAATAAATAAAGTCTAATGTTAATGTTGTTCAATTCAATTCAAAATTT